GACTAAAAATAGCTTTGGCCCTTGTTTCGTGGGTGACGGCGTAGGAATATTTGGTGATCTGTGTCCTATATAGGGGTGAAACTTCAGGTATCACCAAAAGACCTTTTTTATTTCCTTCCCATGTGTTCTGGCAACATGCCGGTGAAAGAAAATCAAAATCAAAGAATAACTGTAAAAATGATGGCCCTTTAAGTACACATGCTGCTTTATGTACACTGGTGCATCTCAGGTCAATAGGCCTTTTGTGCTAAAATTTAAAAATCTTTCTTATTAAAGGCAGTATCTGAGTTCTGTGAAAAAATGAGACAAGTTACAAAGAAACTACATAGAAAACACTCATAATTTGGAATTTTTTTCAAAAATATAATTTTTTACTGCCATGTGATGAAAAATGTACAAAATTTACATGTAGCATCTCTCAAAATACCAATAATTTTCCACTTTTTTAAATATCCGGACGGACAAGAAATATATTTTTAGAATCTGTGGACAATATGCAAACAGAAAAAATGCAAACCAGTTGCAATGATTGTAATATTAGAGATCTATACTGAAACATGTATGCCTACCCCCTGAACATGCCACTGATTGAATTAATCTAATCTATGATTGCAGAACTTACATTACCAAAGGAATCTGTCTAACAGCTATGTTTTACCATCCCTGGCTAACATATGCACATATAAACTAAAATAGGTGCAATAAATATGAATTATGGTTAAAAATAGGCCTTGATGAATGAAAAAAATGCCATATTTGGTCTATGATCACCCCTCTCTAACAGAAGGGTCACAGAATACACAATTTTCACAAATTTGGGAATATTTCAATGTTTCCAACATCTCAAACCTCAGAGGCATGTTACAAATTTGTATTGCAATCCTTGTGCTGAAGCAAGATGTCTGGAACTTTACATTAATTTCCTGAAAAAATGAAGTCAAAAAAGTAGTCATGACAGACTTGACAACATAAAAAGAGGCCTGAAAAGGAGAAAAATTAACATTTTATTGTTTTATAGGCAACATAAATGCAGCAAACACCACAAATGCTGGATTTTGATAAGAAAATATTGAACATTAAACTGACATTTACACATCTACACCAGTTTTATATCTGGGTCTGGTCTCATTGGCCTGAAATGCCTCAGGGTTCTACGTTTGACTCTGAACAAATAAGGGTTAGAAATCCTTGAAATGCACAAAAAAAATATTTTTGGGTGAAAAATAACATTCTTAGCTGTAATTCACCCACAAATTCCAATTAAGATCATTAACATGTCAACACAGGTGCATTTAAATCCCTCAAAACACATTAATAGAAAAGGGTGGGGTGGGGCATTTATTGCCTCTCTAAACAGAATGATGGAGTAAAAAATGTCTAGAAAGGCTGGGATATTGCTTCCTACATGAAGGAAATGCAAGAATTTAATGTTTCAAAGAAGGAAAAAATGCTTATTCTGGGTAAAATAGTGGCAAAATTGAGCCAACCCCTGTTTTGAACATTTTGTACAAACCCATCTGCTGTACATTATTAACTCAGTGTTACCAATTTTCAATTTTCTGTAGGAAAGCTGGAGCTATTTCTAAACCTGACAAACATGTAGATACCATCTAAGTTATATTAGCAAAGAAAATATGGGCATTTTTAGACATTTTGACTCATTTTAGTAGTCATGAAAATATTAATTTCTACATCCAAATGGGGGGAATCTCAAGATTTTTTGTGAATATTCCTGATTTTTAGACAAAATTTGGTGAAATTTCAATACTGTTCACTTTATCTGGGCTTTCTGAGACTGAATAAGCCAACATTGGGCATTAGAATATTTTACTTACTGTTAAAAATTTAATAAAAATTGAAAATTGAGAAATTTGCAGTAAAATCACAATTTTTCTTCAAAACTTTGATTTTTTTTTTTTTAATTAACTTTTTTTAGTTTTTCTGTAGCCAAACTATTTTATTCATATTTTCTGAGAATTTAATCTTCATATTTTCAAAACTAAGGCATATCAGTGACAGCCTTATCACACACAGACAGGACACAGATCACTAAAGATTTCCCCATTGACTCCAATGTTAATTCTCGTATCTTAGACCGGCTCTAACTTTTTCCCAAATTTTCATTGGGTAGAACGCTTTCTACCACAGATGGAGCAACATGTGGCAACCACTTGCCCAAAAGCACGTATGAGGTTCTTCATGAAAAACTTGAGATACACAAGCTGGAAGTAGAGACAAGTAAACATGCAATTTCAGGCCCTACATTTCAACGTAACCAACCTCTCAACTCTTGTATCCTTCCGCATCAAAATTATGAATATTCACCAAAACCTGGCAGAAAATGTATTTTCAAACCCTTTTCCTCAATTCTACACCAAAAAGTCAACAAAAATCGCCATGCAAAAGGGGGAAAAAGGAAAAGGGAGAGGAAGACTAAAATAGCTTTGGCCCTTGTTTCGTGGGTGACGGCGTAGGAATATTTGGTGATCTGTGTCCATATGCACGAATATCGAAAGGAACCGAGATCTTTGGGTTATACACTTATTTTTCAAGTTTCATCAAAATCAGAAGTAAGTTGTGACCTCTAGAGAGTCCACAACCCAGATATATCATATTTTTACGCTATTTGAGTATGAGGAACCGCCATTTTGTCCGTCAGTTTTGGTCCTATTTTTATACACTTATTTTTCAAGTTTCATCAAAATCAGAAGTAAGTTGTGACCTCTAGAGAGTCCACAACCTCGATATATCATATTTTTACGCTATTTGAGTATGAGGAGCCGCCATTTTGTCCGTCAGTTTTGGTCCTATTTTTACGAAATTCGAACTCCACCATCCTTAGGATGTAAGGGTGATATATTCAAACGTTTTTTTTAATCGGATAAAAATTATGACCTCTATAGGGTCCAAAAGCCAAAAACGTGATTTTTCGCACAATCAGGGGCCATAATTCAAGTTTCAACAAAATCGGATAAAAATTATGACCTCTATAGGGTCCACAAGCTAAAAACGTGATTTTTTGCGTACAAATAGGGGCCATAATCCATGAAGTTTCGATCCAATACATGCCAATATCGAAAGCAGCCGAGATCTTTTGGAGATAACCCTATATTTCAAGTTTCGTCAAAATCAGATAAGAATTGTGACCTGTAGTCTGTAGAGTGTCGACAAACAAATTGTGGACGGACAGACAGGGGCGATGACAATATACGTCCACATGAAAATGTGGGGGTATAAAAATGCGATTTTCGTACAATCAATTCAGGAAGTTACGATCCAATATGCGCAAATATCGAAAGGAAGTGAGATCTTTGGGTTATAAACTTACATTTCAAGTTTCAACAAAATCGGATAAAAATTGTGACCTCTATAGGGTCCACAACCTAAGAATGAGATTTTTCGTACAATCAAGGGCCATAATCCATGAATTTTCAGTCTGATACACGCCAATATCGAAAGCAGACGAGATCTTTTGAAGATAACCCTATATTTCAAGTTTCGTCAAAATCAGATAAGAAATGTGACCTGTAGAGTGTCAGGGGCGTATAAAAAAGCGATTTTTCGTACAATCAGGGGTCATAAGTCAGGAAGTTATGATCCGATATGCGCGAAAGAAATCGAGATCTGTGGGTTATAAACATGCATTTCAAGTTTCATCAAAATCAGATGCAAGTTGTGACCTCCGGAGGGTCGAGAACCCTGATACCCAATATTTTGACACTATTTGCGAACGAGGGGCGGCCATTTTGTCCATCAGTTTCGGTTCAATTTTTACAAAATTCGTCCTCAACAATTCTCAGGGTGTAACGGTGATATATTCACACGTTTTTTTGAATCAGATAAACATTGTGACCTCTATGGGGTCCACAAGCTAAAAACACGATTTTTCGTACAATTAGGGTGCATAATTCAGGAAGTTATGGTCCGATATGTACGAATATCTAAAAGAACGAGATCTGTGGGTTATAAACATACATTTTAAGTTTAGACCAAATCGGATGATAAATGTGACATCTAGAGGGACCTGAAGCTAAACACGCGATTTTTTGTACAATCAGGGGCCATAATCCATGAAGTTACAGTCTGATACATGTCAATATCGAAAGGAACCGAGATCTTAGGGTGATAAACCTATAATTCAAGTTTCATTGAAATCGGATAAAAATTGTGACCTGTAGAGTGTTCACAAACAATTGTGGACAGACAGATGTCTGGACAGGGGCGACAACAATATACATCCACATGAAAATGTGGGCGTATAAAAAACGGCAAGTTTTCCTAATAAGTAAACCGGTGCCGCATCGCAATTGTATAGGCATAGGTACATATGACTTACCGTCATACAGCCAAGGCTAGATGTAGAGTAACGGAATCTGCCGAGGTTTACCGAGTGCTATAACCACATGAGATCAGAAACAGACTTAGCAATGTCTTGTATTATTTCGGATATGTGTGTGTGTGAAATAGCTTTATTTAACGCTCGCTTCCACCGAAGTGATATCGCAGACGAGTTATCGGATACATATTGATTTTGGGGTGTTATGTACAATTAGGATGTGTGACATAAGTGACTAATTTCTACGTGCTGTCGGCCATCGTCAAGGAGATTAAAACATCCGAAACTGTGGAAATCATGGGTCAATCACGTAGCTTAAGTTTATAATCACTCTTATTGGAATGATGCATATCCCGACAAAAGAGAAGCAATGACTTCTGTTCAGGATTGGATTGATGAATTGTCCGATAAAAGATTAAAGCAGATTAACTAGTTAATCAAGGTGGTGTTTGGTGGTATAAGACGATAAATACGTTGATCATTCAATTACGTAATCAATCCAGCGTGTTATCAACGATAATCGGGTTGAGTGGAATGGAATGGCAGCAACAGGCATTTTAGCGAGAGTAAAGATCTAAGCCATATAATCTTGCCCAGTCCACGGCCTATTGGGTACACTAATGATACATTTTATACACTTAAAATCTTGAAAGAAATTAAATACCAGACGTGATCCCCGTGTTATTTCTTTATCAATATCTGGAGACAAAAATCCAAATATTCCTTCTTTATCAGTTCTACCTCTTTGACATAATCCACTAGCAAATAACTGTAATAAAAAAATAATTTTGATAATAAAGTACAGTCGAAAATTGTGTACCGGTATGTTTCATTTTTTTTTAAGATCCTTCCTTATCTTATATTCCGGTGACCAAACCAGTGGACCCATATTTGAAATAAATATTTTTCTTGATAGTTTCATATGGAATCAGACCCACTAAATCCATTTATCGCAACTAGATCACTGTTAGTCTGGAGGGTGGTGACAATAGGTACCAGGTATCATTCAGATTTGACAAAAAAAGGGAAGAAACTGAGCTTATCATCTAGAATCTAATACTTGTATCCAGTTAATAGATTGCCATCCAGAAAGAGTTAAATGCCGGGTATCATTCAGAATTGACGAACCATCTAGAATCTAATACATGTATCTAGTTAATAGTTTGCCGTCCAGAAAGTGTCAAATGCCACCAAGATTCCTCAATAAACATCCAGTTTGTGCTGCCATGTAGTTTAAGAAACACTGTTTAGTTTTGACATCGATCATCTAGTTTATGAAACTAAATGGTTATAAACTAGACGACCAATATCAAAACTAAACTAGAACTGTGATGCAGAAATGATGGGTTTCACCGGTGCCACATTACCCTTGAACTTAAGTCACTTCCGGTGTCACGTTATCTTTGAACTTTTGTAACTTCCAGTGTCAATGAAACCGTTAAACAGATTTCCACATAAGCATTGCACACATGTAATAAAATGGATGCAGAATCAACTAAATCCAGCAATATCAATTCCATTAAAACATTTTTTACCATGTGTTACATATGTAAATAACCACATTTTGCAAGAGATGGATAGAGAACAAGCTAAAAAGAAACAAGATTTTTTGTACAATCAGGGGTAATAATCCAGAAAGTTATGGTCTGAAATGCGCAAATATCAAAAGGGACTGAGATCTTTGGGATAAAAAAATATATATTAAGTTTCATCAGAATCGGATAGAAATTGTGAACTCTAGAGGGTCCACAACCTTCCTATTGCATACTTTTACACAATTTGTGTACAAAGAGCGGCCATTTTGTCGGGCAGTTTCATTTCGATTTTTCCGAAATGCAATTTTAACCTTCATTATGGTGGAATGGGGAAATATTGAAACGGTTTTTAAAATTGTGACCACTTTGGTCCGATTTTCATGAAATTCTAACTCAATCAAAATTACGGTGTAACAGTGATATATTTGAACATTTTTTTAAATCGGATAATAAATGTGACATCTAGAGGGACCTCAAGCTGAACATGTGATTTTTTGTACAATCAGGAGCCATAATTCGGGAAGTTACTATCCGATATGTGCAAATATCGAAAGGAACCAAGATATGTGGGTTATAAACTTACCTTTAAAGTTTCATCAAAATCAGAAGAAAATTGTGACCTCTAGAGGGTCCACAACATTGATATACCATGTTTTTACGCCATTTGAGAACGAGGGGCAGCCTCATTTTGTCTGTCAGTTTTGGTCCGATTTTCACGAAATTCAAACTCCATCATCCTTAGGGTGTAACGGTGATATACTAAAACCCTTTTTTAAAATTGGATAAAAATTATGACCTCTATAGGGTCCACAAGCTAAAAACGTGACTTTTCGTACAATCAGGGGCCATAATCCATGAAGTTACGGTCCGATACACGACAATATCGAAAGGAACCAAGATTTTAGGGAGATAAACCTATATTTCAAGTTTCGTTGAAATCCGATAAAAATTGTGACCTGTAGAATGCCCACAAACAAATTGTGTACGGACGTCCGGACAGACAGGGGCGACGGCATAATACATCCACATGAAAATGTGGGCATATAAAAATGATCCTTACAAAATTTGTTACTAACTTACTAAGTTAGCTGACTTTCTAATGGAAAATTAAAATGCGAAAAAAATGTTTTTTAAAAGTGTTCCTGACAAAATTGGTTATTTCTCGACAAGGGAAGGTGGTTAGAAGCAATTTTTGGACATCTATATGATCGTATTGATTCATTCTATATGTCCATTGGAGTCAAATATAATAATGTTAAACGAATAATAAATATAACTCAATTAAAAAAAAATGTTTTGAAGGCTAAAAATACAGGTTATGATGTCTATTTATAATGATTGTGTATTTTGAAAACATATTTTTTAAAAAATATATTTTTCTATGGAAGGGAGGTATTGTCACAATCAAATATCATATTTTTTCTTTTACATCCGAATTTATAAATATTTATGTTCACATCCTATTTGTCTGAGTTTGATCCCCCAAACTCAATTTTAATTGTCTAAGCTGTATCCCCCAAACTCATCTTGATTGTCAACTGCATCTGAGGCATGCAGCATGTGCACAATATGGCTATATAAGCAGATGTGGATGGCACATCAGAGTCAGTCAGTCAGTCAGTCAGTCAGTCTTTTAGTAAGGTTCGTTCAGGCCGAATCGGATCGATTATGTAGGAGGGGGCCAATTTAACCTTTCTTCTTTGAATACATAACTGTAGTGAATATCGGACCATGTTTAATTAAATCAGAGGTACATTGGAACTGGGCCACGTTTGATTACGCCCAGTAGGTGAAACTTTTATGTGTGTAGATTATTGTTGGGCAACGTTTGATATGGAGCGGCGTTGGGGCCAAGTTTAGCCGTAGCTGATATCGTGAACAGAACATTTGAGATGATCCCAGAATAGGATCCACAGACCTATAATTATCTCAACTGTGTTGTGGAGAACTGTGCGGTGTTTAAATGTTTTACGAATAACTTAAATCAGAATAGGTATTGCAGGCCTATGTTTAATGTTTTCGTTGGACGAATAATGTTTTTGTGAATTGATGGTTTGATTCCCACCGGAAGTGACCTATGGACATACTGAACTCTGAAAATTGATTGTTTTACTGATCTGATATAAATATATAAAGTATTAAATTATACTATTAATGCCATTTCGTTTTCTTTATGATTTTGAAGACGCAGCTGGGGGGGTTGTTTGCACGAGTGGCAATTGGTCAGGTGCCAAATCGTGACAGGTTCATTCTATTTGTTGATTGGAATCAAATATCATCATTTTTATAAAACGTTAAAAATCAGACTCAATTGAATAAAATATCTGTTTTGAAGGCTAAAAATAAAGTTTTGCCCAAATGACATCATTTCTGGTGACAGTGAAAATGTTAAAATGGTTTGACCTAGTCAACATTGGCATTACTCCATTAGGCATCAAGTGGTAATAAAAATTTGAATGATAATTGATTCTTTTACATACAGGCTAAATAACGTGAAAAGTGACACATGCAAAATTGCCTATTTCCCAGCAACTGCGCAATATTACAAATTAAATTTCACATACATTCTCTTCGTATGGATTATTGCTACGAGTTTATGAAAATTACGAAGAAATATTTGAAAATATGAAGACGCTGGATGGGTTGTAAATAGCTTCATATTACACCCTTTTTCACCTTTTAATTGAAATAGCCGAAAAATGAAATTGAAATTAAAAAAACTGAGCCCAATGTTTTGTGCGCCGTTAAAGGGCACACCCCTTTCAGTTATACAACATTTGAAAAAAATAATATTTGCTTTCAAAAAGTGGTACCGTCACTTCCGTTGCCGACAGGAAACTTTAATGGTAACAAAAATGATTGGTTGCCAGGCAACGAAACATACGCCCACAGCAGCTAAATCATCGGGCAGTCAGCAAGTGTTGTCACATATTTTTTACTTCTTTTGGTAATGAAACATTTATAATACACTAAAATCTGATTAAGAGTAACAACTCATGAAGTAATTATCAATCTGAAGTCAATCGGATGATAACTTTAGCCTCTAGAGCGTCACAAGATTTTTCAAAGTGATCAAGGGCCATTACTTTGGCAGTAATTATCGGAAATCGTTGAAAATCAATTGGATTCTTTGTCTCATGACCTCAAACACTGTGTATAAATTTAAAGTCAATCAGATATTAACTTTAGCCTCAAGAGCATCCACAAGATTTTTTGAAGTGATCAGGGGCAGTAATCATCAGAAATTGCTGAAAATCAATACGCTTCTTCGTCTTATGACAGTAAACACTGCGTATAAATTTAAAGTCAATTGGATATTAACTTTAGCCTCTAGAGCGTCCACAAGATTTTTTGAAGTGATCAAGGGCCATAACTCTGGAAGTGATTATTGAAAATCGCTGAAAATGAATAGACGTCTTCGTCTCGTGACCTTAAACACTGTGTATAATCTCAATCGGATAATAACTTTGGCCTCTAGAGTGTCCACAAGATTTTTTGAAGTGATCAAGGGCCGTAACTCTGGAAGTGATTATCGAAAATCGCTGAAAATGAATAGACGTCTTCGTCTCATGACCTTAAACACTGTGTATAAATTTAAAGTCAATCGGATATTAACTTTGGCCTCTAGAGTGTCCACAAGATTTTTTGAAATGATCAAGGGCCATAACTATGGAAGTGATTATCGAAAATCGATGAAAATAAATAGACTTCTTCGTCTCATGACCTTAAACACTGTGTATAAATTTAAAGTCAATCGGATATTAACTTTGACCTCCAGAGCATCCACAAATAAACACTTATATACAGTACCACATGGTACAAATGATGGATATGGATATGATGAAATTTGCAAAAAAATGTATCACAAAAGCTTATTTTTAGCACTTTTCAATAAGCTCTATATTTTAAGTATGTTGCATTCCGGTCATTTTTTTTTTACACCTATTGATGATATGTGCTTAGCACTTCAAAACCATCCGAAGAAATTCTGCTTGCGACCAGGAAAGAGAAAGTTACAGTGTATCTTTTTCTGTACTACACGGACAATGTGAATATGGTATCCTAAAAGAAGTCCCCCAAGAATTAGTAAGGACTGATTTTCTTTTTCAAATTAGTGCTGGGTTGGAAGTCGACCACCAGCTTTTTATCAGACAGGGTCAAAATTAGAAGGTTGCTATTGCACCATAGAATGCAATCTGTGCTTATTAAAAATGGTGATAAACAGGTGAAAACC